GAGGAAAGGAAAATGATAGATTTGAAATGTTATCCATTCCTCTCCCTTCACACATAGTGCTCTTAATCAGAACAGTCTGGTGAGTGCCTCCATTAAATACTAATTGTTTTCTCAAGTCTTCCTCAGCTTCTACTTACTAGCTGAGGGGATTTTTGCTTTTGTGCAAAATGCACAGAATGGAAGACTCGTTTTGGAGCCCTGCCACAGTGAAGACATACCTGTGTACGGAACACAAATATTTGCTTTTTCTGATTTTACTTAGGTCTTTCAAGTTTATCATGATAATCCCTTCACAGTATTAAAAAACTTCAATAAAATTCGGAATTCGGTAGTTGTGTCTGAGATGGTAGGCAGTTCTTGAGCACACACTCTGCTTATGAGGACAGTTCAGGACTGAACTCCATAAACAGTAAAGTACCGTTTACACATGCACTGTACAAATCTAATATGAATTTTATTAATCACCTTTGCTAAATTAAAGGAACTAATACTTATCACGGGCATTAGTGCACAGATAGTGGGCTCTTTACTTTGAGTGTCTTGGTTTTCTATTCATTTTTACGTGTAATTTACATACCATTGCAACGAATACTTCAAAACAGCAGTTGAGGAAGCTTTCATTGCAGCTGCTGATGTGTAAGAAAAGAAGTAACTTCGGTGGATTTCCAAATTCTCTGATTGCATCTGCAGTAGCTGCCTGTTTATCTATTTCTTACAACCTTTTTAGAAATCTCACTTGTTATAGAAACTTTTGGGAGGCCAACAAAAAGCAAACAGAAAAGTTACAAAACAATATTCAGAGACAAAACACTATAAATTGAAGAAGGGATAGGCTTTTTAATTTTCACTAATTTTTTTTTAAACCTAGGTTCACATAGGAAACCATGTAACTGCATTCTGTGAAACCATTCATATTCAGATTTATCCACAATCAACCCTCCAAACTTAAAGCTATTAAAATCTCATTGCAAAAGCCTGACTTGACAAAAACCCTGCTGACATCAGAAGGCTTTTGTCTTGAGGTCTCATGAAAGAAAGGAACAACAGCTATCTCAGGTCCTGTAGCTGTTTTTCTTGATATGCTGTCAGATGCTGCAGAGAAAGACAAGTGTGCCAAATTTCCTTCATTGGGCATAGATATGCACAATACAGTAACTCTACCCAGATTATATAAAACTAAGAAACTACAAACTAATTTGTAATGCAGATAGACCACCCACCCCCCCACCCCCACCCCCCCAAAAAAAATATTAGAAAGTGGACAGATGGCATATTGGTTGATAATTTTTAACTGAGGACATTACCAACTAATCAAATTCTAACAATTCTCTTTCTTCAACAAAATAGCAAGTCCATTGAAGCAACGAAAATCTACATGTTCCTTTATAAATCTGGAGCACAAAAAAAGACTGAAAGTTTACGTTTGCACTTGGCTGGGATTGTAGAAAGCTGCCTGATTAGAGACTTTAAAATCAGACCTATAAATGGTAGTCAAATTTAACTAGAAGAATTTAACTTTTGTGACAGTAAAGTCATACAGTCTACTTAAAAAACTTCTGTCACAAAAAGTCTATAACCCTGGTCTCTAATTAAGTCGGTTTGTTAAAAGAAGTCTTTACAGACCTGAATCGAAAATAGTCAGTGATCTTAGTTCCTAGTGAAGTTCACATGCTGTAAACATTATTTTAACATCTTAATTCCAGCCATTAAGGGGAATTCACTGTAATTGGGAACCTTTCAATCCAATGCACTGACAAGTGAGTTTCTAAATAAAAATACCCGGACCTGTGTTTCAGAAAAATCCAGTGTTCTACTGTTCAACAAAGTTACTCAGTTTTGAATATTTGAATGAAAAAAATGGCAAGTTATAGTAACTATAATTAAAACCTGCAAAACAAGACAAATAATCTGGATGAAACTAAATGTTCACATAAACAGAAAAATCAGAGTGAGTTCTCTGTCTACTCACCCATAACTCAAATGAGTAAAATAAATTTTCACAGATACAGAAAGCTGAAACCAAGCACTACTCTTCAAGCTTTTTCTCATAGTGACACCTCAACAATCAACTCTTCAATCACAAATATCTTTCTTAGGACATGTACTCAGACATGCCAAATTCAAATAGTTTTGGTTCTGTTTGGGGCTTTTTGTTGTTTTGTTTTTTTTTTTTTTGAGGAACAGGTTAATCTTTTTTTCCATGAGGACTCCAAATGCTACATATTCCATGGAAGACATATTTCCTTTGAATGAGGGCTGCAACAACCTACTAATTAAAATATAAAATACTTCCTAACCTTAGATTTTGAGAAATTACTGTGATTACTTACTGATACCTGGTGAGGGAAAATATAATTTCTCAGTTGATATAGACTGACTGTATTTCTGTAGGTGGCAGAAATCAAAGTCTCCAGTGCAACTAGTACCCCAGCATACCAGTCACGCCAGCCAAAAGAGAAAGAGGTAGTCTAAGAAAGAGGTAGGTTAAGTAAATTAGCGGTGATCTAGTGTCAGAACTGGGCTTTACTGTATTAACCACATGAGAAAGCTTAATACCAGAGTACTTGACAGTTTTTAGGGTATTTTTAAAGCAATCACAGTACCTGACATTGCTTACAAGTCTTTTAAGGTATTGCAAAGATTTTCACCTCTGTACTCTGGTCACAGACACAAAGTGGGCTTTTTGACAGTCTGGGCAGATACAAGGTATTAAAGCTATGTATAATTAGGTAACCTGTGAAGAGAGGACAGTAGTTCAATGGACATAGGCACCTAATGATAAGAGAAGGACATGACTCTCTAGGGATGCTGATAGTGCTATTCATGCTTTATGAAACCTAAATTAATTAACAAATTAAACTCGTGCTATGGAAAAAAGGCAAACAGTGTGAATGACTGATAAATGGGCAGGAGTAGACTTCTCCAGTTTCACGAAAAATAGTTACTTAATCAGAAAAAAAAAAAAGAAAAAGAAATGGCCAGAATCCCACTGTGTGGAAACATTGTCTAATGTCACACATTGGGCAACAACCTGCTGTTTGTAACACTAGTAAGATTTATAGGAAGATTAGAAAGACAGAAACCTTGTTCCTTCAGTGTTGCATTTTCCCTATCTTCAACCTTTCCATTTTACTCAGTCTTAGTCACTGATTGTTCCAGTCAAACCTTTAAGTGGAGAATAATATTTTAAGCCACAAGAAGAAAAACCAAACGGAAAAGAAGCCTGCTAATATGGTGAATAAGAGAACCCAAACCCAACCACCTCTGTACCAAACTGCCCAGACTAGGACTAACTGGAATGTAAGGCACAAACCGCTTGGGAAAGATTCCAGTTACTGGTCCTGCCTGGGGGCTCAGTCCAGCAGATAGTCCCCACCATCCTGGTGACAGCTAACAGCGATAACAAGCACCCACTTTGCTACTGGGGCTATTGCCAAGTAAGAAGACTTTGTTCTCTTTGATGCATCCCTGGCCTGTGCTCCCCAGTGTTCTCCAGGCTGGGAATTTTTACAGTGAACTGCTGATTCCCCAGCGATTTTTAACCCTCCAGGTTGTTAGGGAGACTGCAGGGAAGGGAGCAGCTCTTAAGGAAGTCCATTAGGCTGCACACTTGCCTGCAGCACAGGTCTCCCCAGACCAGAAGCAGAGTAAGGAAGCCCGGCTCGATGAGCAGTCACTGACAGTCACTGGTCACAGCCTCCGACCCGCTAGCACTTGAAGTAATATTCAATTACAATAAACTGCAATATAACAAAAATGCCAGGAAAATGTACCAAGCTCATTAAAATGCAGTGGCACCTATCTGCTCAGCCAGTAGCCTGCAAACTGCCAGCCTGACCTGGGGAAGCAGGCAGCAGCAGGAAAGTGCCTTGCATCTACCTCGGGAGTTTAAAAACTTCTTCTGGCCTTGATGGATGGCCTTTGATAAGAATAGCTTGAGAAATACCCTCACCACCAAACTTCTGGTGAAGGAGAACTTTTGTGTACTCTCCTTCATTCCTTTGCAAGGATTCATAAGCAAACAGCCCTTGGAAAAATACACCCAAAATGAGTTCTGGCTGAAATCCATGGACTTTAATTCGTTTGTCTTGCTGGGTGATTGGACTTATCAAAACACAGGGCTAATGAACTCTTGTAAAAGCAGGAAGGGAGGAAGAGGCTTTCGGGCCACAGCGTGCTCCTCTTCTCCATCATGGTTTTGGGGAGACGCTGCCCCAGTCAGGTTTATTTGTTCTGGTGACTGGGCTAAGCCTCTCCCATGTGAAATTTCACTTTTCAATGAAATCTTACTCCGGGAGCACCACCTCCAGCATAATTATCGTGTGACTCATACACAGAAAACCCAAAAGTCAATAGTCAAGAGTTTATTTGATGGAGATTTTCTCCTAATTAAGAGGTCATTAAGGCGATCCGACTGTTACTCAGCGCTGAGACCAAGGTCCCCAGCAGCTGCTCCAGCCCGGGAGACAGTTGCTGGCCAGCACATTTTCCAGAAATATGTTTCCTCTCTCGCTAGCGGCCCCTTCCCCCTCCCCGCCACCCCGTTTCTAGTCTCTCCAGCGCTGATGAGCTAATAGCATTTTTCCTTTGCATATTTTGGCGCTGCTCCACCGCATACTCTGGCGGACTACGTGTGTCTGAGCGCGCCCGCCCGCCGCAGGCTCGGCGCGGATAGGGGCGCGGGGGGGCAGCAGGGACGGATGGATGGATGGATGGATGGATGGATGGATGGATGGATGGATGGATGGATAGAAGGAGGGAGGCGGGGAGGATGGGCGGCGGGAGGATGGGGAGCCCCAGCCGCCGTTGCCGCGCCATCCCGCGCCGCCCCGTCCCCCCTGTTCCCCCGCGCGGGGTGGGTGGGGGGCGGCCGTGGGGGAACTGTCAGGGCCGCACGTTTCCAGCCGCATTACGTGAATAAATGGCGGGGGCGCAGCCAGCGGGGCTTGTGTAACTTTGAGAGCGTGCCAGCGAGTTTTAAAGCCCCTGGTTTCTCCTCCTCCTCCTCCTCCTCCTTCCCTCTCTCCAGACACCAGCGCGGGCCGGAGGACGATGAGAGGCTGATTGTTTGCTCCGGCTCCCTATTCGCATCCCCTCGCCTATAAATACCGGCGAGAAGAAAAGCCGTTCCCGCCGCCTTCCTCGGGCCGTGTTTCCTTCCTAACGGCCTGACCTGCCCGATGGCACCGCCCGGGTGCTGCCGCGCTTGAGACCCCTTCTGGCTGCCTAACCGTTCCAGAGGCGCAGTACGTTCCCCCCGGCTTCCCCACACTCCCCGCCTCTCCTCCCTCCGCCCAGTCCCGACCAGGAAGGCGCCCCTTTCTCTCTGCTCGCCACCCCGATTTCGCCCGTTTCTCCCATCCGCCGGTACCCAGGAAAGAGGAGAAGATGCATTTCGCGCCGCCAGGGCTCTTGCTCGCCCAGCTCCATGCTTGCATCTACTGGAGCTGCCTGTGGCCCGCCGGTTGCCAGCAGCCGCCGCCGCGCCGGGACCCCCCGCCGCCCCCCGCCGCCTGGAGGCAGCGGATTCAGTGGGAGAACAATGGGCAGGTGTACAGCCTGCTCAGCCTCGGCTCCCAGTACCAGCCCCCCCGGCGCAGGCAGGCGGCCGAGGCTGTGGGCAGCCCCATCCTGCTGCTGCGGAACAACGGCACGCTGCCGCGGAGAGCCGCCGCTCGAGCAGCCGCGGAGACCCAGCCCGCCGCCGGCAGCCGAGGCAGCTCCGGCTCCCGGCGCTGGTTCCAAGCGGGCTACCAGTCTCCCTCCGGGGGCCGCGCCTCCCCCGTGCCGCTGAGCCAGAGCTCCGCTATCCCCGCGGCCACGGGGGTGGCCGGGAGCGGATCGTCTGGGGCGTCGAGACCCGGCACCTCCACCAGCCCCGGCGGCGGCACCGGGACCGACGGCAGCCGGAGCAGCACTGGGGCCGGCGACCTGCCTCCCCTCAGCAGCTTCAGATCCGGGCGGGAAGATGTCATGGTAGGAGACGACCCCTACAACCCTTACAAGTACACGGACGATAACCCCTACTACAACTACTACGACACCTACGAGCGGCCCCGGCAGGGCAGCAGGTACCGACCCGGCTATGGCACCGGCTACTTCCAGTATGGTAAGAGCCTGCCTTTACTTTCCCGTCCCGTCCTGTCCCGTGCCCCCCGCCGGCCCCGGCCCCGCTGTGCTAGCCCGGAGCGTCCCGCAGGGACACGGTGCGGGATCTGCGGTTCTGCCAACCCCTCGCTCCGGGCAAAACCCGACCCAGCAAGGGATTTGGAGGGCTCCCGGACTGCCCGATCCCGGGAGGCAGCGGTCGCCGGGGCTGGGAGGGGAGGGCGACGTGCGGGTGGGAAGGTGGGGAACCCACCGCAGGGGCCTTGTGCGTCGTGCTTGTGGTGCGGGCTTTGAGAAAAGCCGAAGGACCTGAGCAAGAGGGAGAGCGGCCTTAATGGGTGGCAGGGTCTTTAGCAAAGCGACAGCTTCTAACAATTGGGGTGGAAGCCAAGAATTTGCAGACGTGTCCTGGGTTGATCTTGCTGTTATGTGGTTGGTTTGATGAACTGCAGGTCTCCCTGACTTAGTCCCGGATCCCTATTACATCCAGGCGTCCACATATGTCCAGAGGATGTCCATGTATAACTTGAGATGTGCTGCCGAGGAGAACTGCCTGGCAAGGTAGGCATAGCTCCAGCTTTTGCCTGCTGACGGTGGGTTCTTGTGCTCCTGCACCCACCGCAAGAGTGCCTAAGGACTTGGTTGAGAGTGGAGACAAGAGAGGCTGGAGGGCCCAGGAAACGTACCCCAGTTTGTAACTTTCTTACGAGCCTGTGGCAGATGGTGGGATGTGCACATAAGAGCCGTACCAGAGAGACACACACCACAGAAGAACCTACATTTTATGAAAAGTTACATTGCACATTTCTGTTATCAAGCTCATTTGAACATACCTGAATTTTGCAAAATGGAGGCACCTAAAAACATCCATTTGAATCTGGTGATTTTCATTCCATTTCTCTAATCCAATGGGCTCATATTCTACTCCATTAAAAATAGGGAAAAAAAAAAAAGAAAGAAAAAAGAAAAAACAAACTATTCTTACCAGCACAAGTTAAATTATAAAATGCTAATTGTTTCTGGGCCTGTGCCTTGTGATGACTCTTAAGACTAAAATCTCCCTGAAAAAAATGTTTCAAAGTGTTTTAATGGGTTGGAATAATGGCTTTTCTATTATGTTGGGTCCTGTCCAGTTGGCAAAGTGGGATTTTTTTCTGTTTTGATGGGAAAGAGATCAACATAGCTGTTTTTAAAATTTTAACTTGTTTGATACCTTATCATGCAAAACAGATTTACTTATTTACCAGCACCATTAATTGATGCCAGGCTGTTTCCAGGGTCATGCTCTTTCTTCACTTGATGGAAAAAGAAAACATGGCATAAGAAGCAGTATTTTTTATGCTAATCTTACAGTGAATATTAATTGACATGTTCTTGCCCGCTACCAATTGATTAAAATATTCCAGTATTTAAAATACTGTAGATAAAGGCTATGTGAAATAGGGAAATAAAGCCTAAGGCATATGCATATTTTTTCCAATAGAAACAAACATCTGTTGTGTGATCTTACACACAGAGTTCCTTTGGTTAACAGCCATTAATAAAATTGTGGGTTTGGTGCATCAGTACCATCAGCAACTTTACATCTAAGTGGTGGCCTGCCTCAAAGACAGTCTGCTTCAAAGGTACAGTCAGTGGTCAAACTTCCATTTACATTATTAGAAGAAGATCTGAATCTTATTCAGGTCTTGGTCTGGCACCAGACACTTCTGAGTATGCCATGTGGCATTCTTGTGTGTCTTCAACGTATGAGCTTTACGGAGGCTGAAAAGATCAGTTACTTCCGAGACCACATAAGGCATTTTCTTAATGTGTTTCTTGCATATACTTACATCTCTTTTTTGCATTATTACAGCTCAGCTTATCGAGCAGATGTTAGAGACTATGACAATCGGGTGCTCTTGAGATTCCCCCAAAGAGTGAAGAATCAAGGCACGTCAGATTTTCTGCCCAGCAGACCCCGTTACTCATGGGAGTGGCACAGCTGTCACCAGTGAGTGAAGTGCTCAGTATGGTACCTTCTAATTATCTTTTTCACTAGCAAATTGCCACTCTAAAGGTGACATTTTCTAAAGCTGCAGTGAAGCAGGGGGAAGCCAGGGGGAAGCTATGTAGCCACCTGAAACCAAAATGGATAAGAAGCTTACTCATAAGTATAAAACTCTCACAAGTATAAATTCATTATAATTACAAGGCTCAAATCAGTTTTGACAGTGGCACCGGCACCTTCTCTTCTGATTGTAGTCCAGTTACATATAAGTGGAACCAGCAAATAGAAGTTCTAATCATGGTAAAATAACTGTGCAAACCCTAAAATGTACCTTTACTACATGTTCCCTATAATATATCATTGTAAACATTGAACCATACTTCTTGACTTAAATTTAATGGGTTACTTCTTGACAATGAATGGTCTGGTCAATGTGAAAAAGAAGGTACTGAGATGACTGATCCCATTATCAGTATCCTTCTCATATGATACTTTCAATAGCAGTACTGCCCTAGAAATAGCAGAATTGCTGGAAACATGGCAAGGCAAATGTAGTAGAACATTTCCAGCATTTTAGGAGCAGGTTACACTGAAGACTTGCACCTTTTCAGAAAATTCACATGCAACAGTTTGCAGGTTTGCCCAATTTTCGCTATTTTTAGCAAGACCAATAGAACGCTTACCTTACTCCCACTTTACTTCAAATACAATTCTGCTGTTATGGGTATTATTCTAGTTAAAAAATAATATGTAATGTGGTCTTGATCTAAAGGCCCCTAGAGGCAATGAAATATTTCTTTCTAGCTTCAGAGGCTTTAAGCTTTGGATGAAAAATCAGGATCATTACAACAAATTCTTTTTTTTTAAAAAAAGACAAATATTGCTAGTTTATAAATATTGTGAGGATAAAAAAGCTACAACTAAATCAATCCAAACAAAAAAGCTTTCATAAATACTTTCGTTAAACCCCACCCCTGAAAAAGAAACCACCACCGAAAAAACCCTTTAACCCTGGTGCTTACAAAATTGATAGATGAATGAGATGGATAGAGAGTAACTGAAATCTTCCATTTGTTAAAAAGCAGGTTTACTCTGCCATGATCACTATCTAGATGCAAAGTGTCTCCAGTGCTGATTCAGTTCTTGGACAGAAAATACACTGCCCATAAAAAAAAAAAAAAAAAAAAAAAAAATGCATTTCTTGTGATCAATTCCATGAGAGTGAAACAAGCTCATTTGGAAACGAACTGTAACTGCCATTTAGTTTGGCTAGCCATCAGGCTTCAGTGTTAGTCATCATCATCTGAGGACCACTTTTAGTATTCCTGACATGCATGCTTCATTTTAACAATACATTTGAATTCTGTTTAATTGTATCTTTCTTGTATAACTCTTCAGCTGAAGGCATTTGTAAATAACAGTAGCCAGATGTTGCACAGACATCTGTGCAGGTAGATGGTACAAGTTTAGTTTTCCTTGTGTTTGAAAAAGTGAAATTCAGAGAATAATAGCTGTTCCAAGTTCATAGTAGGAACCAGAAATCTGTGTGACAACAAGAAAAATGCATCACTGTGCCCAGATCCAAAATACATATACTTTTGAAACAAGAGACTACGTTAAGAATAATCTACAAAAATTGATGCCAGATGAGATCTGCATTGCCAGTACACAGAAGGTGATTTCTTTATGCAGATTTGTTTTTGCTAATGTTATGAATGTATCATATTGATTGAGGGCCATGGGAATGTGAAAATGGATTGTTGAGTTTTTACTATCAAGTAGAAACTTCCCTGGAATTTACAGAATGTAAGGTAAGCATTCCTAGTGAAACTCTGGCTAAGGGCAGCTATAAGATGTACAGTTCAAATATGAACTACTTAATATTTGTTATTGGAAAAAAGCTGAAACAGGAAATTTTGGAAAAACGATGATGCTATAGAGTCTTTCCCTTAACAAATTAAAATCTATTATTTATTTATATATTTATTTTATAGTCATTGAAAATTGGAGTAAAGGAAATAAAACTTACCCAGATGTCTGGTAATAGGAAATATCCTACCACACAAGTTCTGTGCAATAAATAAAATTTCACCATGTCTAACAGAAGGTAGATCAAATAGGAATCTGTAAAATGTCATTGACAAGATCTGATCCATCTTTAATAAAGTATCTATGGTTTAACAGACATTATCACAGCATGGATGAATTCAGCCACTATGACTTGCTGGATGCAAGCTCACACAGAAAAGTTGCTGAAGGACACAAAGCAAGTTTCTGTCTTGAAGATACCTCCTGTGATTATGGGTATTATAGACGGTATGCATGTACAGCACATACACAGGTAAGAGTTGGTTTGGAGACAACCAAGTTTATTTTCCCTCTCTAATTTATCTTTGGATATTTTTTTTCTACCAATCACCTCCTGGCCTAAATTATCTGATGCCCTAACTAGCTCTGAAATTCTCCATCACAGCAACTTTAAGACTTTTAACAATTTGCCCAAGTGCTGCTATGTGGATGTCCCATTAAAATGCAGGGTCACTTACTAGCCTAGCATCACTGGTAAGTGAATGGTATTAAAACACATCACAAGTTCTTGTGGTTATAGGTGAAGTGAGCTAAAGGAAACCTGAGATAGAGTCAGTGAAGAAGTCTTTTCCAGTGTGCTTGGCTGGTGGCAGAATTCATATGTAGTATTTTCCCCCTTGCAGAGCATGAGGCTGCAAGTTGCTGAATGCCCTTAATACCTGTAGCTTCTGGCTGGCAGTCCAATACAGAAAACTTACATCATAGCTTTATGCATGTATAGAGGGTTGTTGAAGAGAATGGCAGCCATGTGACAATTACGATGGGTTGTATACAAAGTAAACCAAGGTGTTAGAGCTCATTAAGGGAACAGATAAAAAATCTAAATGTACCATTATGATATGATACAAATCCATGATAGACTCCTACCTTAAATACTGCATGGAGTCCAGTCACCACTTCTCGAAACTGCTACAGAAAAGCTTAAAAACCCAAACCAAACAACCCTAGGAGAATGAGGATGATTAGCAGTGTAGTATAGCTACCACAGTAAGAGATTTCATAGACCAATTCCATTTGGAAAACCAGAAAAAAATACCAAATCTTGAGTGGTCCTGTATAGAAAGAGGAAATTGTTGATATTCACTGTTTCTCACAGCACAGGAGTCTAAGGATATCCAAAAGAACTGCCAGACAACAGCATTAAAACAGAGAGGAGAGCTCTTTTGACATACAAATAAAGAATTAAATGCCTTGCCATAGGATGTTGCAGAGAACAAAAATATCTACATGTGTTAAAAAAAATCAAATAAAGTAATGGAGGCTCTTAAATACAAAAATCTAATGGTACCCCATATCTTAAATACCGTTAAATGCCTGGTAAAAGGAATTTTGCTGGGTAAAGGACATTATACATCCCATTTCTTATGTTCTTTTCTCCTCAGCCATCTGCTGCTGATCACTGTCAGGGACAGGACACTGAGCTTGATGGATCTGTGGTTTAACTCAATGTGGCCACACTTACACATAAACTTGTATCCCTTATCCTGCAGTTTTTAATCTAGGAGGTAGTTATTTTATCACAGAGAAATGACAGCTATGTTTCAGTGACTGACATGTCCACATTTGAATTTTAAATACAATGAATGATCTGTAATACATTAAGGCTTTGAAGAGGTTTTATAAATATCTTTCCTCTTTCTGGAGACTATGACATCTAACTAAGCAACATACATATTTTACAGCTGGAGTGTTTGTGTCACTAGAATCTATGGCTGTGTCAGCGTTTCCACTGGAAGCCCATATTTCAGGGGTTTGTAATTGTACCGTAAAACTTTCCTCCAGCTTCAGACTTGGCACATACATGTGAGAGTTTGAGCTGATCACCAGCTGGGTCAAGAGGGAATTCCTGCAGAACTTGTTTTTTTTGCACTGTGTGTTGCCAGAACACTTCAGCTTTGCACAGAGCAATCTGTATCAGCCACAGTTAAAAGACACCAGATTTAAACCACCGATATATTCCTATATGAGATTCTTACTGATGTTCCTAATAGCAACCATTAAAATGCAGAAAAGATTCATCTGGAAGAAAGGCTTTCAGTTCTCTCAGATTCTTGTGTCACTGTCTGCCTGAAGAGATGTTTTTTTTTTCTGTGCAAAACTCAATGTAAAAGTGGCCATACACTCTACTATTCAAAGATGCCACTTTGGCAGAGTACATCCATAGCAAAATGTTGCATCATTTCTAAGGGTAGAGGCAGGATCAAACATGGTGATCAAGCTGGTACTCCAGGATCTCAAAAGCTATTTACTTCTGATTTACAGACATTTAAGTCCAGCCTTTGTTCAGTTTTAATTTTATTCTTATCTTTCATAAAGAACAGTAACAGCACCCACAATATTTACATAAAAGGAATACTGTGACAAGTGACAATATAGATAAAATACAGTTATCTCACAGATGAACAACTATGAATAGTATAGGCGTTTCTTATGGAGGAGTAATATAGTGCTGTCCATAAAGTGATATGTTAGACTTTCATGTTCTAGTTTAGATATTCAAGTAAAATGCCAAGAAAAAATAAGCCTAATTTCCTAAGATAATTTTCCTACTGAAATGTGGTGGTTAAGTGAACTTCAATCTGAGTGCCCCTAATGGCTAGAATTTACTATTCCTAACGATTTTTTTACATCCATCTTAACTTCGTATTTTTAGGGACTGAGCCCTGGCTGCTATGACACTTACAATGCTGATATAGATTGCCAGTGGATTGATATTACAGATGTAAAACCTGGAAATTACATTCTGAAGGTAAGGGTATTTGGCAGTGGGGAGGTTTTGATATTTTTGTGTTTTTTTTGTTTTTTTTTTTTAAAGAAGCAAATGATATGCTTATGCCAATCTGAATATAAGTTATCAGCTCAAACCTGTTAGACAACACTGTGCTTTCTTCCCTTAAGGTCAGCGTAAATCCCAGCTATTTGGTACCTGAATCCGATTACTCCAACAATATTGTACGCTGCGATATACGCTACACAGGCCACCATGCATATGCCTCTGGCTGCACAATTTCACCGTAAGTACATTCCTTTGTTTTTGCAGCTGTTTTATATTCATAGTACTAAAGTTGACAAACAGATATATAAAGCTTAGGCATTTACTTTAGATGGAAAAAAATAACTTCCACCATTAATTCTAGTGATACTAGTTTCTTCAGTAAGTTGTTTCTTGGGTTTCAGTATCTAGTGTGTTAATTCAGGATTCAGATGGTGCTTTTCAAAGGTCTTTTTTGGCAGGATGATGGGAACAGTTGCTTTGCTCTTGACAACTGCAGACCTTTCAAATCCTGACCTCTGGTAATTAAATTATTTCTGGAGGGCTAGCACTGCTTTTGAAAGATCTAGTCTAGAAAAGCAATCATAAGGGAGAATTTTGCTCTTGCCATCATGCCATCAGGACATATAACTCTTTCAAAACTGCTGCTGTCTGGGCTGCTAGGTAACTACCTCTGGTCCACGCTGCCTCAGTATTTGCACTAAAACCTTTCTGTGCTCATTCAGTACCCATTTATACCACCCACACAGAACTCTGGAGCAGTTAGAGAGCTCTTAAGACATTCTGCAAAGTCCGATGAGTGTAAGTTACTTTGCTGCTGCTGCTTTTGACACTGCAGCCATCCTCTTTGAAGCAGTTCCTCCAGACACATCTCATTTACAGCTTAGTTCTTCAAAAGTTGAAACAATGCCACAATTATGCCCTCTATTTTCCCTCCAAAAGGTGAATTCATTTCATTAATGTTCTCATAGCAGATCTGCTGTAGCTTAGTATCTGTGAAGCCCACACACACACAAAGCAATCAGTCTTTTGTAACAGGATAACACATGAGTTGCTCATACAAAATATTTATCAAGTGGTTTCATTTGGATTGCATAAGGAGTATTAACATTGTATGGAGATTCATGGGAGATAAATTCCAGAGCAGAAAATGAAAAGTAAGAAGTAAATGATCATTATAGTCTGCTATAACAGCATCAGTGAAACAAACATATCAAATTAATGTGACTATTGCTTAATTAGCCTCATTAGGAAGCCAGTAGTTAAATGAAGCTAAAATGAGAAACATTTTTTCATGCCAGTGTGGAGATCTGTATTTATAATCACATTTTGGTCACAAATGAAACAAGTTAAATGGCTTCAGCAAGATCCTCTTTGTTCTTGCCATGTGGTTGTCAGACTTGTAGGAAACAAAGCTAAAAAACCAGGTATCCTGCAAGTCATGAGCAATCATATTTGATGAACCTGTGGCAGGAGCTTTTAAAGCATTTGTCTGTAAGAGGACTAACTGGTACTTCTAGGAACACAGGAACACCATTTCTACTCACATTCACATGGAAGGGAAATTTTTGCTTCATGTCTCTAACCTTTAGTCTCCCCATCATACCCCTGTAAATGTTATCATGTCAGGGTGAGGAAGCACAATTTCTGCTACTGTTTGTTGATCTGCACCTTCAAGCTGGAAAAAGGTATTTAGCAGGAACTCCTGTGTGTTCATCTGCCTCACATTCTTTCTTTTCTCCCAACAGATACTGAGAAAGACGCAAAAAAATGGATGAGACGATGACAAATGTTTTGAACTGAAGTATCGTTATATAAACTTAAATAGGATGCAAACACTATACAAGCAAAACTACAGAACATACACACATACACCCACACACCTTATGTGATTTTGAAGCACTTCAGCTGCTTCTCAACCAAAGCTGCAACTGGATTTTATGCATTTTAATTGGCATTACTTTTATTACTATTGAAATGTGTGGAACTGGTGATTCATGCACAGATACTTTATATTTTGAAAATCTAACTCATTCATAAAAACATGAGCATTCCTTAACTCCTGAAAATTTGGAGTTTACATGATAATAGACTGCAGTGGGAACATTATTGATGAATGAGTTGAACATTTTAAAACATAGTGAAAATTTATGTAAAATGAATTAAATGCAATAGAAAGTACTAATGTCACCTATCTAAGAAAATACCAGAATGAAAAAAAAAAAAAGCTTAGGAGTAATGCTACAGTACCATTAAAATGAATTTGCTAGGACATGATTTGAATGAGAAAAGTCTGTTCGGTTTTCAAGGAATATTAACATATAGCAAAGAAATACATATAAATATATATATATCAGTTATACCCCTGCAAGAAAAGTTATGTTTACATTTTTAATACATTAGAAGTGTTTCTCTAAGTAAAAAACAGATGGGGTTTTGAAAGAAATCTTTCATCTGTGGAAATAAATTAAAGAACTTACTTAGCCACCTTTCTATGTTCGAGATTTTTCAAGGTGGGGCTTTTAAAAGAATTCTGCAAACTTAATGTGGATACAAATAAGTACCTGTCAAGACAAGGGCTCTTGGAGATGAAGAGTCCCTGATATAGTTATCTGTGAAAAACATCCAACTTGAACAGGTTAACCATCAAAATAATATAAGCAACTAACTCAGGTGGCACCACCAACAGAAGTAGGTCAGAATATCTAAGTTTTTGTTGTGAAAAAGCCTACTACCTGCTTCCCCCTTAAGTACTGTATTTGACTTTAAAAATGTCAGTATTCAAACACAGGTTGAAACTATACTATATATAGAGGGAGAATAAAAGTCAATGTATTTAACATCCTACTTTAGGCTGTTCAGGAACCAAATAAACATTGTAGGGGGAAAAATTTCCAGCCCAAATTAAAAGTTTTTGCTGAACTGCTTAACTGGTGCTGGGCACACCACTCATCCTCCCATCCCCAAATTATTTTGCTTTTGCAGTGCACCCTGCTGTAAGCTACAGTAGCTGTGATTTTGTTTTTAAACTGTGAAATTTAAACATATCACAAGGGGATCTGGTGGGTTGTTTTTTTTTTTTTTCAGAAGACTTCTGGTCATGTAAAAGGAAGGATCTACTTTTGAAACAAAGGGACCTAGAAATACTGATTGGCATTGGTTAAGTGTAATCAGCAGTTCAAAACACCTAATGAAATATGGAAATCTAATTACGTTTTAAAAAAACCCTGAAAAATGTGTGTGCTATTTGGCATGGTGAAAAAATAAAGTCTGAGAGTATGGAGAGGTTTTATTGTCACTGTTGAGAATAGCTGAGGCAGTATTTGTAAGTATTATACACAATAGAACCCTATGGATTTGATAGTTTTATGAACTATTGCAATACTTTTAAGATCAACTTGTTCTTTATTACATATTTAAGCTTATTTCATGATTATAAAGTATTTTCACCTTTATCATAATAACTTGGTTAAAAATTTGCACAACTAGTATGCATACTTAAAAATAATCTAAGAAACAGCAACCCAGTGATCACTACCCAGCACTGGGAGTGGGTGCAGAATTAATGTAATTTATACCTGCAAGTCTCTTTTTGCATGCGGAGAGATCCATTTCCACCAGTATGGGCAACAAAGAGAAGCAAGATTTGGAAACGGATTTATCAGAAAGCCATTTATTACAATATGTCTGCAAAAATAAGAGTCTGTTTAAAGTCTAGGCTTCTGAAATCTCAGCCCAGATTTTTTAAGATTAAAGGGGTTAAGGGATGCAAATGCATTCACCTTTCTAAAGACTTGGGTCAAAATTGGGGTGAAAGTTTTGACAGCAGCTTGGGCAATGGACACAAAAGCTACTGTAATGGAAGCTAGGCTGTGGGCACCAGCTACTTCCTGGTAAAAGGTTGTTTGCTGGTACCTCATTGTGCCTGATAATGTGCTGAATGTGGGATAAGACCGCATTAACTGGACACAGAGCAGCCAGAGAAATTGAGTTTATCCCTTGACTCAGGAGGCAGTAACCTGCTCACATGTCTATACCCAAACTACTTGCAGAACTCCACTTGAATTCAGCAAGGAGCCAGAGGACCTTGAGCATCGGTGCAGGCGGAGGAGATTGTAATAGTGGACTTGGTCCTTTCAGTGGGAATGGCCTGGTTCAGAAAGGTGTTGAACGCCATGACTTTGAATACTGGGGATATTGGAGCTACAAAAATGTAGCTTTTTTTTTTTTTTTTTCCATAGCAAAATATTGTATTTCTATTGAAATGTGTGTTAAGCAACATGACATAAGTGATGTACAATAGCATAAAAATTGACCAAGATATCATGAACAGTCTATTCAGAAAAAGGAGGGATTTTAGGATTAAAAAAAATGAAGGAATGTGATTTTAACTTCCCCTTTTAACTACAGTAAATCACAATGCTGTACAAGAGTTTATTATATAACATGTAGAAAGCAGTTCTAAACTGGGGAGTGCCAACCAGTATTTTCAGTGTGTTGATTCTGCAGTTTTGACCTAGCTACCTAATTTACTTTTTTTTCATACTGGAATATATTTGTGGGATTATGTTTTGTGCAGTTTTGTTGAAAAACATTTATAAATGCTGTTTTGATAAAAAAACCTTATTTTATGAAGCAAATTATATTTTGAATCCTTTTTACCAGACAGTGGGCTTATTCCAATCATCTTCGAGAGGCTTTTTGCCTTTCATCTCAGTGGGAGTAAAATCAGATTTAAATTTTTGTGAGAATTCTAGTATAAATTTTCTGTCTTGCAGTCTCAACTTTAATTTTTAAAGCCAAATAATAAAAATGTGTGTGAAACAATTACCTCCCACGTTTCAGATCTTTAGATAAAAATTGCACATAAGGAACTTATTGTATGTCAGGATCATTAAAGGAGGGGCTTGTTACATATTTTTTTTTAATCCTGAAATACATTTGATATATGCATATTTTTAGACAAAGTGTAACAAAATGACAGATTGGTCGCCAATGGAACCAACATATTGTGTAGATGTTTTTGTGTTAGTAAAAGTCTACTCATTTTCTCTCTGCTCCAAAGTTTGCTATGCAGTGTCGAATGACTGCAAACACCAAAGGTACCTTCCTACAGTCACTTGTGCATTGTTTGCAGTGCACTCATTCAAAACCAGCAGGGTGAATTTCATAAAGGAGACATTGAAAGGTAGTTTATCCTGTGTCTCATGCTCATGCCAATAAGGCATTTTAATTTTCTCCAAATCCTAAGAGGTGCTGAAAGATTTTAACTTGAATTAAAACCAAAGAGTATGCTATTGGGAGGTTTTTATTATACAACTAAGTGCTACAGATACAGTGAAATGCCACTTGTTTTTTCAACTTCTTGGGAGGTTTTCCATTACTTCCTTCACTTTTCTTCCAAGAGTCTTAATTTCAGTAACTTTGCATCTTTATTTGAAGAGCTTTAATTTATAATATTCAGGCACTAGCTTTGTATTCTTCATTGCACTTTCATATTCTTGTGTTACATGCCCGTATTATGGTTGCAAGTTTATGTGAAAATGACTTGAATAAATTGTTTCAAGCGTTCTACTTGTTGTATTATATTTAATGCATAGGCCAGATCCATCTCTCAATGAGAAACCTTTGACTTAAAGTTGTTATAACTATAGAAAATGAAGAAGATTCTATCATGCTGACATGGTCTCAGAAAAATTGTCAGAACTTAGAAACAAGAAAGAAAAAGTTGCAAGATATGATGGATTACATCTCACACTACACAAAAGCTTAACATGTGAAGGCATAACAGCACAATGTATGGTTTGTCTGGATAGAAGATTTCTTTACCATATAGGCTTGTCTCTGCAGGAACAGGCACTTGGAAATCACTTTCAGAATTTCTGCTCCAAACCCTTTCTATCATGGAAATAACAGTTGATCAGTCTGTAGTAGAAAGTCATGAACTCTAAAAAATTGACTAACATGCATAACACTCAATTACTCCAAAACCATTTTATTCTTTGTTATTGGCTATTACAGTATAAACCAACATCTTTGATGCCTCTTCAATCTGTATGCTAAACTGATGAAATAGGCTGAATTGTGAAGCATCTCTTGTCCCTGCACTGAGGGATTAATACAGAAGATGATCATGTTTAAAACTCTGGAATCTTCAGTCTAGTAAGAGGTTGTTAAACACTCAAATACCAACTAATGGCACTCTTGGCTTTGAGTAAATAGAGACAAAAATGGATGGAATATCTTTTAAAATTCATAGAGTGTCAAATTATTTTAGACACAATGTTGTGATGATGTTCCTATAATTTAGCTAACGAAATTATTTCTATACTACTACATCTTGGAGCTAAGAGCTTCAAACTGAAAATTCCTGTAAATGCTATCCCTAGAGTGCAGAACTCAGTGTGGATCAGAAGCCATGCAAATACAAAAACACAGTAAAAATTAATACAGTTACTGAAGAAAGTATATTCAAATTTATTGAAAATAAAGCATCTCCTAGTTTTCAAGTATCTTCTACCTGCTATTCTACTATCTCATTTTCACATTAGATCACCTGCCTGGTATCATAACATCACCAGTCAACAATTACAAAGCAGCCAAGCACTTTCAATTAAGAAAGTAATGCTGTATCTGAATTTTCAATCAAGCCCTATTTCTCCTGATCTAATCAGTCAATAAAAACTGAAAGAAATATTTATGACTGTTGAGGTATCTTTAAACTGGTGTTATCAATAGTGCACCTTTCTCTAAAAAAAAACCAAAAACAAAATAAACCAAGGAACAGTGGGGCTGATGCACCCTCAGCAAGTTTGCCAATGACACCAAGCTGTGTGGTTCAGTTGATATGCTGGAGGGAAGGAATGCCATCCAGAGGGACCTTGACATGCTTGTGAGGTGGGCTGATGCCAACCTCATGAAGTTTAACCATGACAAGTGCAAGGTCCTACACCTGGGTCGGAGCAATCCCAGGCACAGCCACAGGTTGGGCAGAGAAGAGATTCAGAGCAGCCCTGCGGAGAAGGACTTGGGGGTGTTGGTTGATGAGAAAATGAACATGAGCTGGCTTCAGTGTGCGCTCGCAGCCCAGAAAGCCAACCATATCCTGGGCTGCATCAAAAGGAGTGTGGCCAGCAGGACAAAGGAGGTGATCCTGCCCCTCTACTCTGCTCTTGTGAGACCTCACCTGGAGTATTGTGTGCAGTTCTGGTGTCCTCAACATAAAAAGGATATGGAACTGTTGGAACAAGTCCAGAGGAGGGCCATGAGGATGATCAGGGGACTGGAGCACCTCCTGTAGGAAGACAGGCTGAGAAAGTTGGGGCTGTTCAGCCTGGAGAAGAGAAGGCTGCGTGGAGACCTCATAGCAGCCTTCCAGTATCTGAAGGGGACCTATAGGGATGCTGGGGAGGGACTCATTAGGGACTGTAGTGATAGGACAAGGGGTAACGGGTTAAAATTTAAACAGGGGAAGTTTAGATTGGATATAAGGAGGAAGTTCTTTACTTGTAAGGGTGGTGAGGCCCTGGAATGGGTTGCTTAAGGTAGTTGTGAATGCTCCATCCCTGGCAGTGCTCAAGGCCAGGTTGGACAAAGCCTTGGGTGACATGGTTTAGCATGAGGTATCCCTGCCCATGGCAGGGGGGTTGGAACTTGATGATCTTAAGGTTCTTTCCAACCCTAACTAGTCTACGGTTCTATGAACCAACACATTTAAATCAATATCAACTCTCTTAAAAGACACTGAAAAATCTGAGATTGTTTTGTTATTTATTTAAGCATGAAGGAAAAAGTCATGCACCTGAAGCAGTCTAGTAGTATCTCACAGTATGTAGCCTAGCTGAGAACATTTATTCTACGGTACGGTAGTGGAGAACAGGATTCTGAAAGCTTTGTAAATCTAACAATCACAGAATGAAATAACTTTCCATATCACTGTAAAAATAAACGTGTAGTACTTTGTGAGAGTTCTCTGTCTAAACAGTATTTCAGATACAAGTTATATTAAAATCATGTACATACTGAAAATGTTATCTTGATATAATGAGGAGAAAATGTTCTAAACTTTATCAACAACCTCTGGGCAAGTTCATCGGGTTTATCAGTTCGTAAAAAGTTGCCCAGTTACACATTAAAAATATTATCAAGTCTCAAGCATCACCACTTGTTTGCACAGTGCATTAATGCTGTGATCCAGGTGAGTCACTAAGCATTAGCTAGAAGTAGCAGTAACCCATTAAAATATGAAGCAATGCCAGCTACCTAATCTCTCTTCTCTCATTCATGTTCAGTGATGTTATCTTTTTTTCTTTTCTTTAAAGTAAGAGCTCAGAAGTGCTTTAGAAGATGAAAACAGAAGTTTTGGTTAAGTCAGGTTTCCTTCAGGAAGAATTCTATGGCCACAAATTACAGCTGCAAGAATGGAGTAAGGAACTTGCTCAAATGCCAAGATAAACCAAAGCTCCTAGATCTCTAAGCACATGCTAAAAATTACTTTAGAACATAAGCTCTTCCCCTCCACCTCCTGCCCTCAGACTATTTGCAAACTCCAAATTTTTGGTGCTTAATGTGAATCAACTCTTGCATTAGGGTGCTCATCTGCTAAAAGAAAGGTAAGATGTCCATGACAAACTTATTATAGTTGATGACATATACCAAAAGGATTTTTTCTTGCCTTTTATTGGAACCAGGTAAGTCACATACGAAACATCTGTTTGGCGTAGGTAAGTAAATACTTATTTATTGAAAGCCATAAGGATTAGCATCTGGAAAACTTAAAGAGGATATAGGAGGTAAATGCACGGCTTTTTCCACAAAATATGATCCTTTCCTACAAAACCACAGTACAAATGTTTCCATTTTTTATTTTGAAGTTTCTGGCCTTACATCTTATTCCATACAGTACAGTGAAAATAAAACTAACAAAAAGCATGGGAAATGGAAGGTTATTTGAATTTCTGATTCCTCTGAGCAGCAACGCCATTCAGGAGGAGAATAACACATATACTGACATCTGTTTAGGGTGCAGGAAAGAAAGCCCAACTGAGTGGGGTAAATACATGCTAGGTAATAATACAAAGTGGACCGACTGGAACATTTTGCCTTCAAGGATTTAACATATGATGACAGAATGAGCAGAAATTGCTGAGCAATAAATATTAATATGTAAAGTCTGCAAGGGGGAGAGATAGTGGTGGCCATACCAGCAACAGAGCAATACTTTACATTAAAACAACTAAAGTAGGTTTGGCCATTTGACTCTTACATCATCCCAGGTGGAATACACTGGGCTATTACGTAGTGACTACAAGTTTTAGACACATCCAGTAACTCCCGTACGGAGCCATTGAGGGTTAGAGTCATTGCTTGACTTAGTCCTAATCCTACATACCACAAGGAGTAGTTGAGGTAGGAAGAGACCTCTGGATATCATTTAGTTCAAACCCACTGTCCAAGCAAGGTCACCTTGAGACAGTTACTCAGGACTGTGTCCAGTCAGGTTCCAAGTATCTCCAAGGATGGAGACACCACAATCTTTCTGGGACCTGTGCCAGTGCTCTGTTGCCCTCACAGAGAGTTTTTATTGTGTAAGCAGAATTTCTTGTATTTCAATTTGTGATCAGTGCCTCTTGTCCTGCCACTCACTAGCACTGAGAAGAGTCTGCCTTGATCTTCTTTACACTGCTCACTGCCCCCATATTTACACACATTGACAAGATCCACCCCCGAGGCCTCTCTTCTGAACAGTCCCAGTTCTCTCAGCTTCTAATCGTATGTCATATACTTGATGGCCTTAATCATCTTGGTCACCCTTTGCTGGACTTGTTCCAGTCTGTCCTTGTCCCTCATATGCTGGGGAGCTCAGAACTGGACCCAGCACTTCAGATGTGGCCTCACCAGTGCCACACTCTTTCCAATGCAGCCAAGGAGGCTGCTGGCCTTCTTTGCCAAGACATTGAAAAACAGTTTTTTGAAGGACTTCTACACCTTCAGGGATTACAGATTTTGTAAGTTTCCATGGATTTAAGAGCAGACAAATCGGCAAAAAAGAAATTCATTGATGATTAATAAACACAATAAGCTACAATATCACAAGATGTCCCTGAACAAAACTGTAAGCTTGGTGAGTTGGATGTGGAAGATGTACTGTGTATTTCCTCTATCCCTATGATTAAAGCATCCCTTTTTGACTGTTGAAGCTATTAGGTTAGATAGACCTCTGGGTCTGATGTAGGACTGTTCTTAGGCATTATAGAATGCTACATGATTTCTAGAGCATATTATCTTACATTCACTGCAGTCACTTACCAAATTTCTGAATTAATTTAGGAAAGACTGAAGTTTATAAAAGATGGAAGATTGTGTAAATAAACACATCTGTTAAAAATTACCAGTTCAGAACTTGTTTCAGTTAAGTGGTGGGAAAAGCCCCTGAAGAAAAATACAATGAAGAATTTACCTCATATCCCAATTAAAAAAACTCCCAAACTCAGAATGGTACTTAAAGGTGAAATGTTTCTTAGTGTACAAAGACCCTTCAGTTTTTTAGCATTGTTTCAGAAACTGCAGGACAG